GGGCACCGTAGCCAGCCCGTGCCCCTTTAAGGGGTCCGGGGCCAGGAGGGGGGCAGACAAGTTTCCCTGGTGGTGCCCAGAGTGGCCACCAAGGCAAGCTGGGGAGGGCTAGCCTCCCACTATTTTGAATTAAGGGGCTACACAGCCCTTAATTCAAACTACTTAATTTGAACTAGGTGTTAGTCCTCGTAGAATGAGGTTTACCTAGTTCGAATTAAGCGCTCCGCTAGTTCGAATTAAGTTCATATGTGTAGCACCTATTTAAAGTTAATTCGAACTAACATCTGTTAGTTCAAACTAACTTTGTAGTGTAGACATACCCTTTCTGTGTTATGGAAAACAATTGGATTTCAGGTATATCCCAATTTTTCTGGCACAACCAAACCCTGACCGTGCTATAAGTTAGGGTAAGAGGAAGTTGCATGCCAAATTTGGTGGCCTGAGCTCTTACCATTTCAGAGGAGGTCATGAACAAATTCACAGATAGACTGATGGATTCATGGACAGATGCACAAACACTCTAAGACTGTGGTGTCCTACCTGTTCTGAAGCAGTAGCGAACTAGCCACACTGAAATGTTAATATTCAGGACTCCAGTATGAAGTTTTGAAGTGGCAGGGTGGAGGGAGGGATGGGAGCACAGAGCATGGCAGGGTGGTAGGTGGCGTGGGGAGGGATAGTAGCACATGGTGTGGCAGAGCAGTGGGCTGTGCAGCAGGGCAGTGGCAGGGATGGAAGTGCAGGATGCAGAAAGGGGATCATCCAGGACGTGGGGGAGGAGGGAGGGGAGCATAGGGTTAGCATGGTGGCTGGCACTGCAGTGGGTGTGGAAAGGCAGTGTGGGGGGAGAGGTCAGGTCATGCTGGGTGCGGCAGGGATGGTACCCGGGACGGGACAAGGCAGGGCAAAGGGAGGCGGTAGCCCCGACGGTCAGTCCTGGGGGTGAGCTGAAAGTGTGGGTTGTGGAGCGGGCTGGGTGGATGCTGTCTGGGTGGATGCTGTCGCTGTTTTGACCCCAGCCCTTCACATCGTGGTTCAAGACCACATGGGGCAGGATTAGGAGTGTGAGTAGTTGATTACCCATAAGCATACCTTTCCCCTCCCCACCTTGCTGCCTCTCTCTGATAGAGGCAGCAAGGGGGAGAAGTGTCTAGTCTCATCACTAATGGACTATTGCTGCAGGAGGGCAGCCCGGGCTGCGGCAAACAGGGGCTGCTGGGCAGTGCGAGCCAGGGAGCAGTCTTGGCTTGCGCAGGTCCAGGACCACTGCGCCTCTGCATGTTAAATGTTGCAAGAGACTCTGGGTCTTAGGATGCAGAGGCGCAGCCGTCCCGGAGCGAGCCCCCCACTTGTGGACTCAGCCTGTAGCCGATGCAAATTGCATGGACCCCCCTCGGCATTGCACGAGCCAGCCACTCCTCCCGTCACATTCTTGGGCGGGACCCGCAGGCGGGCTGGGGCGGGGGCGCGGTGACAGCGGCGGGAGGGAGCGCAGCATTGGAACGGGGCTAGTAACGGCGCGCGGGGGAAGGAGGCGTCCAAGCTGCGGGAAG